CGTCTCGGTGAAGCCGTTCAGGAAACTTGCCCTGCGATGTGGTGGTCGTGACAGAGCCAGTGAGTGTCAGGAGGCGGGGGCGGGGCCGGAGGAGGCTCTTCTCCTGTACGGTAGAGGTAGATGCTTTAAACCTGAAACTGTTTCCTTTTGATCGTGGAAAATAGTTTTGGGTGGTGTGAGGAGCCCGAGGAGCCCTAAGTGGACCTCAGTGGTTTTCAGACTCGAGAGTCTCAGAGGCAGGGGCGGGATTGCTGCTCCAGGGTCCCCAGATAGCCCCTTCCTGTGGGCCTGTCACTCAGTGAAGCATTTTGGTCGCGAACATGTAAGTTCTTCATCTTCTAGAACTGCAGAGGGGCAGCAGCAGGCCAGTGTGTCCTTTGTGGAGCTCCGACAGAGAGGAGGGAAGGACAGCGCTCAGCTGGTCGCCGTGGTTCCCGCGTCGTGGGGTGGTTTCCAGGTCCCCACGGGAGAGGATGAGAGGTGAACTTCCATCCCCCCCCAAAAGAACCTTTTAAAAAGGGAGCTGTCAAGACGCAGGTGCAGATGCTCGGTTGCAGTGAGCCGGTGAACGGCGGTCCCCCCGGAACCTTCCGGAGCAAGGCTTGGGAACCGCGCCCAGCCGCCCCTGGCTCGCACCCTGGTCCCTCCGCGGGCGGCTGCAGGGATAGTCTCAGGGATGAGCACTCAGGAACACACGGGCACCTCAGTGGGGAAGGGGAAGTGATTCGTTGGGGCGGGGGGCAGCACTGGCATCCTGGGGTCCCTCAGGGTCTCCAGGGGTGTCTTTTTTTAAAGAGCAGAGCATTGGGCCAGGGTCTGCCACGCCAGCAGACATTTGCTGGATCGTGAATGGACAGCGTTCATTTCCACCCCATCACTGTTGAAAGCCACACCGTAGGGCACCCAGGAATGTGCCAGCCTTTGCTGTGTCGCGGAGGGAGAGGGTCGGCCGGTGGCCACAGCCCCCGGAGTCCTGGGCGGTGGTAGCGCGCGTGGAGCCTGGGAACGGAGCACCGCACAAGGACGCAGGTCTGGGCACGGAGCGTCCAGCTGGGGACGGAAGGGTTAGAGGAGTGCGTAGCGTGTGGGGTCTCTGGGTCTCTGGAGCAGGGTCGTGAGGGCCAGGGACCTGCGATGAGTCGACGTAGACGCGCGTTTGCACAACCCGAATGTCCCAAAAAGGAATAAACGGTTCTTTTGCAAATGAATTCATGAGCACAGAATGCCAGGTGTGGTGGTCCCTGGCATGTGGTCGGCACTCGATAAGTGTGTGTTAAGTGGCTGAGCACTGTTGGCGTTGGAGGTTAGGTGTTTCCTGCCCTACGGGAGCTCGTAGCCGTGGAGATCCGTAGAGCCCCAGTCAGCCCGTTGTCAGCGGCCCGACGTCAGCTCTGAAGCACAGCCGCTAAGTTACATAGCCGGTCACTGTGGGTGCTACCTCGCTTCACATCCCTGCCTCACACCACGAGGGTAGCCTGCTCCGACCCAGCTGACGTTCTCATCGTGCTCGGTTAGCGTGGCATAAGGGAAGACATCTCTGGTAGTTTTTAGATTAAGTTATAAGTTCACTTTGGAACCACCTGAAGATTGATAAAGATGCATTTGAAAAGCATTATTTTTTTTATTGATTCTTAATGCAGTAAATTACTGAAGTTATTGGGCAGCAAACAGAAATGGCCTGTGGTGTGGCTCTCATTTATTCTCCTGATAGCGCCACAATTTGCATTAATTGCACGGCGACCGCACTCACTTATATTAAAAGGCTCTCCTATAATTAATCCTTTTCATTTCAAATCACGTTGGCACAGTCTCTAGCTATAAACACTCATAAAAGACAGACAGTTGAAAAATACGTTACAGGTTTTTTCCATATACCTATTGCTACTTTTCATGACAAGTGGTTATTTAGACGCTTCTAGGAACAAGCACGGTGCAACTGGCTGCAGATTAAGGCCAATATGAAAAATGCTAAGTGGATTGTTTTGCATAAAAAATAGGCAGTTTTTGAAGTTGTATAATTAACCTGTGTTTAGAAAATACCTTGATTTATGCTCACATTTGTATCTCGGTTGCATACATTATGGAAATTTAATTTATAATCCATTTAGCTGATGCAGTCATAGTTTTTAGTGCTATCATTTATTAGTGCTTGTATATTAAATGCTCTGAAGGTTTACCGCTGCCTTATGTAAAAAATTACACCTATGCATTTACATTTTATGAGTCACAGTGGGATTTCTGCTTAAAATTCAGGTAGCTCTGATCTGTTTAACGAATTTCCCTGGTTTATTGTTACTGATGCAGAAATGGCAAACAATGGCCTTCTCTATCGAGCGCCCGTTGATTTACACTTGCAGTTTACTCTGAAGCCCACTGTCCAAACGAGGCTTTTCCTCAACACCTGGGATCAGTCTTGCTGTCTGCAGAATGTTCTTCTTGGCTCTGAGGCCATCATTCATGTGGAGGTGGTGGGACTTCAGAGGCGCGTGCTGCAGGGTGGCCGTGGCCGTCCTTTCCTCTAAGCAGACCGCGGCTTCCCAGACGACTCTTTTCTTTGCTCATCAGTAGATGACTTAAGTGCTGGTCGCCATTTTATTGCTCAGTCTCTCATTAAGAAGTCCTTTTTTGCCATCTTTTCAAAATTAATTGGGTAATCATTCACCTTCAGATCAGAAGTAAGAGCACAGGGACGTGGCACTTCAGGTCCCTGACGTTCTCCTGGTGGGGAGGGGACACCGGCGTGCGGAGCCGACAGCTGCGCGCCTGGGCTGCTCTGCCACAGGCGCTTCCTCGGGGGGAGGCGCGCAGCAGCGACTCTCCGACTCCCCCCAGGCGCGCTGGAGGGCGAGGTCGCCGCCTGCACCGCACCGCGGGGCGTCTGCACGGTCTCTGGTCCAGGGACAAAGGGGAAGGAAGGCGCTCGCGCCCCAGGGACTTCGGTGTTCGCTTTAGGATCCGGGATTTTATAGATGCCACACGTGAAATCGCCTGTGCTGGCAGTTGTGACAGGGTGGGATCCGCTTGAACCGCAGGGGACGGCGGTGCCAGCTCCACCCTTCTGACTGGCTGGGCGTCGGAGGAGCCCACCCGCCCAGCACCAGCTCGCTCAGCTGTCCTCTGCTCACGTGCCTGGGGGTGGATGTGGCGGGTGACTTCTTGAGGTGGTTCCTCGTTCATATCTGGCTGGCGGCCTCCGAGGGAGGCCGAGTGCTTCGTGACACCTCAGCATCTGGGCTTGTGGAGATTTCCAAGGTGGGCCACGTCCAGCCCTCGCCCCCTCTGTCCTTCCGGGGTCACTCCGTCTCAGGCGAGGATCACAGGCTGCCCCCAAACAGAGAAGGGTTCATGACCACCTGAGCCGTCCACTCACCAAGTAGGGGGTGACAGTGCTGCTGCTCTCCCCTGGGAAGGTGGGGAGCATCTCGGATCGCGGTAAATGAGTGTCTCTGCTGAGGCCTCTGCTGAGGACGCCCATGCGGGCCTGACTCATGTGGCAGGGCGACTGGCCAGGCGGAGGGAAGCGAGCTGGCCGACACCGAGGCTCAGTGCCGCGCCGGCCCCGGGTGTGCACGTGGCAAGGGGATGGCATCTTCTAGCAGCACGTTTTTGACAAGGAGGACTCAGCGGGCTGCTGGACTCACACAGGCGGAGTGCCCGGGGCCGCCGCGCGCTGCTGGCGCCTTGTGCCTCTCGGCCTCAGCCGCGGGCGTGAGTGGGGGTGTCCACAGTCGCCTCGCCTCCTGCGCCCGAGCGTCCCTGGAGGTCGGCACAGTGGTACCAACACTTCACGTGGCCCACCCAGTACCGGTGTTCATCGGGAGGCGCGAATCAGAACCAACCAGACATTGCAGGAGAAAAAGGACGGCGGTACCCGTCGGTGAGGGTGTGGGCCACTCGGAACCTTCCTGTGTTGCGAGTCTTGGTGACAAGATCATTGCATTTTGGAAAACAGCAGGACATGTGGGTTTCGGTGCCAATTTTGCCACCTACTAACTCATAACATGTGGACAGGTCTCAGTTCTGAGGCCCAGTTTCATTTTAGGATGGGGGTTGGCGGAGCACAGCCTGCGGGCGAATCCATGCTGCCACCTGTTGTGTGTGCTCAGTGTGCTAAGAACGCTTGTTTCATTTGGCGTTTGGAAGAAACTCCACAGAGGATAGCATTTCTGAAATCGGGAATCCCACGAAATGCAGCCGTGACGCACGGCGGCCCTTTTGTGCTGCAGAGGCGGCGGGTGTGGCGGCGGCCGAGCCGATCTGGCCCACGGTGCTGGGCTCGCGCCCTCATGCCCCGTTCCTTATTTGGGAATAAGAGTCTTTGCATCTGTAGTCCATCTACGCTGAGGTCAGAGCAGGTCCCAAAGTCCAGTGACTGACGTCTTTGTAAGAGAGTGGGGAGAGTCAGACACGGAGCAGACACAGGGACATGGGGGAAGGTGGCCGAGCGTCCAGAGGCACATTGGAGGGGTGCGGCTGCAGTCTGGGTCCACTGAGGACGCCGGCAGCTCCCGGAGCTGCAGGAGGCAGCGGGGGTGCTCCCCTGAGCCATCCGAGGGAGCGCAGCCTCCGGCCCCCAGCACTGTGAGACGGTAAGTTCCTGTCGTCAGTCACTCGGGTTGTGGCGCTTCGTGACCGCAGCCCTAGGGAACCGGTCCATCCGCAAAGCCCCCACAGAAGGGGCTGGCCAGCCTCTACCACAGCGTGGAGGATTTGGCTCTTAAAAATCCCCGTGGGTGTTAACATCTTAGAATTTCAGCCCTAAAATTCTTTGACAGTCGGTTCTGGGCTTTTCAGCAGACCGAAGGCATGACTTGCATGCTGCCGCTGGCTGGCCCGTGGGAGGCGCTCCCAAGGCAGCAGCTCCCGGCGTGGCTGTCGCTGTCGGGGAGAAACGGCGTCTGCTGCGCCAGAACTCTGGCGTGTCTGGACATCCTTTTCCACTCTCAGAAGTCAGGAGGGGGGCCCGTGACGTGCTGACCCGGCCCTTGTCCCCTTCCCAGGCCCTCTACGAGAACATGCTGGTGGAGCTGCCCTTCGCCGGCTTCTTCCTGTCCAAGCTGCTGGGCACCAGCGCGGACGTGGACATCCACCACCTGGCCTCACTGGACCCGGAGGTGTACCGCAACCTGCTCTTCCTCAAGAGCTACGAGGGCGACGTCGAGGAGCTGGGCCTCAACTTCACCGTGGTGAACAACGACCTCGGGGAGGCGCAGGTGAGGACAGCTCGCCCCGGCCGCCTGTGTCCTGCGTGCGGACCGTCCGCTTCCTGTCGCTCGAGCTTCTGCACTGCGGGGGGAGGGGTCACAGTGGCCGAGAGTCAGCCGTGGCCCTGGGGGCGCCGGGGCACACGGCCACCTCGTGCCAGTGCCCAGCCGTCCCCGCCCTCACAGTGCAGGGCTGGCCTTCTGGAGACCCGAGCTGAAGGGCTCGCTGCTGTCTCCTGGCCCTGGTCCCCGAGGGACCTGGCCGGTCGCGCTCCCTGGCACTCGCCTGCTCAGGGCACCCTCGCTGCCCCACGCTCATCTTCGTCATCTGCTAGGTGCTTCTGTTGTCCTTGTCCTTTTTTTAAAGAAAGGACGCGTTACAGATTCAAACTAATCTTTAAGACAGTAGCTTTATTGAGATGTAATTCACACGTCAGAAAATCCACTCTGAGTGTACGGTGCAGTTTAGCGTACCCATGGGGTCGTGCACCTGTCACCCCGAAGAGACCAGGCCGCCCCCCGTGTGAGGGCAGGCGCTGGGCGGCCTCCTGTCTCTGCGCACTTTACGCGGCGGCCTTCGCGGCTGGCTCTGCTAACTTCCTGTCGCGGCTTCACTGCCTCTTCTGGCCTGACGATGTCCGTCGTACGGACGTGCCACCTGTCACCAGGTGAGGGACGTGGGCTTGCTTCCACCCTGGGCTGGTGTGACCATCGCCGCTGTGACCACACCGAACTGCCCGTGCGTGAGTTGATAGCATCTGCCTTTGCTCCCCACACAGTGAGAGCGGGCAGTAGGCGGAGGTGTGGGTGGCCTGGACTGGCCGCGAGGTGACACTTGCTGCAGCTGGTGCTGGGGACCTGGGCGTTCACGTACTATTCTACGTTTGTGGGCAAATGTTCCCTTAATTTACTAAACTTTTTTTTAATGCATCCGGGTAAATCAGATTGTTCAAGGACTTCCGACGTCACGTTTGTTGCTGTCTCTCGTTTCTTTAGATTTTGAAGTAGCCAGCTGTGCTGCTCTCCCTTAGGTTTGGTTTTCAGACAACTGCGTCTTTCTCGCAGGGAGAGGCGTCTTTTCTGTTATTCTCATCTCGCTCGATAAACTTTTCTGACACTGATAGGTGGATTTTAATTACAAAAATATGGTTGTCTTTAAATTTTGTAATTGTTTCTTTAAAATTTTGTTATTGCTTGGTCTCTGACCCAGGCTTTCCAAAGTCACCAGCTCTGCGGTTCACCAGTAACTGCACACTGAGTAGATGCTTCGAGGTCAGTTGGATCCCCGTAGAAAGTGCTGACCCACACGGGGGCCTCCCCCAGCTACGCCCAGGTCGAGGCGCGAACATTTCCATGGGGTGCACACGCAGAGCAGGTGTGGGTCAGTGCCGTGGTGCTTCCGCCCTATCCCCTCCGTGTGCCAGCCACACCGCCACGTGCAGGGGGCCGACTCGGAGCAGAGTGGTGTGTGCACTCGGGCACACGTGCTGTGGTGCTGGCTCCCGCGAGGCCGTCGGAGGAGACCTGGGCGGGCCAGGACCTCGCTGGGCGGCCGCGCAGACACGGAGGTGGTAGAGTTTAGGGGGTGTGGGCGACAGCCAGTGGCGGGGGCCGGGGGCCTGGGCTCCCTCCCACTCCGCCCTGCACACTCAGGGGAGTGGGTGTGTTGGCGCCTGTGTGTCAGGAGGCCGTCAGGGGGCAGGCGCTTCAGAGCTGGGAGAGCGTTCAGCCATCAGAGGGAGCTGTGGCTGGATGGGCGGGTCAGGGCCAGGCCCGCGAGCAGCCGGGTGTCCTAGGGCAGCAGGTCCCTGGATCCAGGGACAGCAGAACCTCTGTTGTAATCTAATTTCTAAAAGTGATGTCCTGTTGACGAGTGTCTTGAACTGAACAGATCTATGTGAGTCGGAGAGGGAGGGGGCGGGCAGGACGTTCTTGTACCAAACTCCCCTTGTCCCTCTCTCTCCCTTCCGTCTCCATGAGTCTGACCCCTCTGGGCCTGTATAGTTGGAATCATGCTCCTCGTCCTTTTGTGACTGGCCGACTTGACTGAGCATGAAGTCCTGTGGTGGCCGGTGTCAGGACGTGTCCCTTGTCAAGGCCAAGCGGTTCCCAGCGCACGGACACAGCACACACGTTCATCATTTGCCCGTCCACGGACGACGCCGTGAACGTTGCTGTGTCTAACGCTGTCCAGGCCCCTGCGTTCAGTTCTCAGGGGTGGACACCTAGACATGGAGTTGCCCGGTTGCCTGGCGCCTCCGTCCACACTGTTTTCCACGTCCTCACCATGTTCTCTGTCCGTCTGTCCCTCCCGCCTCCATCCTCAGGGGTGTGAAGTGGCTCCCACCACGGTGTCAGGGTGCATGTGCCCTGTGGTGCTGACAGCTCTTCAGGAACGCGAGGCGATTCCGGGTCTTACTGGCTCCTTCCCAAGATGGCGGGACTGGTTCAGCTTTCACTCCACAGTGGTGTCTTCAAAACCGGATATGGAAAAGCACATGCATATTACACATCCTGCTGTCTGAACTTTCGGGGTAGTTTGTAAATGATCGTCTCTGTGGTACTCGAAGTTTCAGTCTATTTCTCAGCCTTTAAAGCTACCTACTTCAGAAACAGGCCTGGGTTAAATCGCAAGTAGGAGTAAGGAAATCATGCCGGCTCAGCTCCCCACCCCTTGTGGTCCGTAGGCGCTTCCGAGAGCTGACACCCATCCGCACTGCGGGGTGGAGTGAGAACGAGGCACACGGAACACGCTTTGTGTGCTTGCAGCTCACCTAGCTGCTTTGTGTCGGCCTCGTTTTCCGTACCTTAGAGCTGAAGTTTCAGCAATGCAGAATTCAGACGTTTTTAAAAGATGACTTGTTACCTAAGGAAGTTGTGGACGTTGGCGCGGTGCTGCCGGCCGCTCCACCTCGCTCCACCTAGTGCCATGGTTAAAAACTCAGGCCCTCAGCTTCGTGGTGACCTGCCCGAGGCCTTTGCTGATGGCGGTTCCCACGTCTTTCTGAAACAGGCTGTAATAGCCACACGCCGCATGCGAGAGTTCCATCAAAGTGCCACTGATCATATTGGAATCTGTTAAAAGCACAAGTGTGAAGTGAAGATGGTCCAATTAGTCATAGAAATTCGCACTGAGTAAAGAGATTATAGAAGATAATGCATAAGAACAATGATACTGAAGAGTCCCATGGGAAAATTTAAGAAAGTCCCTAGTAAAGCACCTAATTTGAAGGGAGATCTTACATATTTCTGTAGAAATAGATATGAAAACGTAGTTCTCTACACAGGTCTGAGTTTATGAAATATAATGATTTCGACATCTGTAACATACAGATAGTTCATTCTCTTGGCAGGTGGTGTTAATTAACCTTCCCTTTTAAAATAATGGTGTTGCTCTCAAGTTTGTTTGCTTTGGTGTGATCAATGTGGCTGTTTGTCAGCCTGCTTAACAGACAAGGAGGTTCTAGACCACACATGTACACACACATCTCCCTAGAGGAAATGCTCCGGGTTTGAGGTGGGCCCATAAATAACCATCCGCTGTGCAGAAACACGTTGGCCTTGGGTCGTGCGACCTGGTTGGGAGTCAGGGCATCGCTGCTCAGCTGTGTGACCCTGGGCGGTCAGGGGACACGTCCTCATTGCAGGGCAGAAAGCTCTGGGCAGAGGGGCCTGTGCAGACTCGTGCTGGCGGGGTGGCTCCAGGTCCCTGTGTAAAGATTTAAGTGTGCCCTCAGGACGGATGTCTTGGGACAGATGTGACATGGTTTTAGGTCTCCATGGGTGTTCAGGTGCGTGTTGCCTGAGACAGGAGTCTAAGTGGCCACCGCGGAAGCACTTTAACGCTGCTGGAATGTCATGGAATGTCAGTGCTGTCTGGTGGCGGGGGCTCTGGGAGCCGTTAACTGATCTCTTCTGGGTCCCGTTAACTGATCTCTTCTGGGTCTTTTGTCTTCCAAATCACAGGGTACCGTCATCATTTATTACCTGCCGCTAATCCACTTAAGGGAAGGGGGCGGTGTTTTATGTATTGAAACAGAGCACAAGCCAGGCTGGGTGACAGATGGCCTGTCAGCAGAGAGCACACACGGCCCTCCCTGGAGTGGAGACAGTGGGTTCAAAGCCCTTTCTGAGACGGGGGTTCAGCACTGAGGACATGAGTTAGTGAGAAGCAAGGTGCCATCTGCTATGTGCAGAACAGAAGGAAGCAGGTCGGAGGAAGCCGCCTGACTCCAGGCCCGGCTGGTCCGTGACCTCAGCCCCAGGACGGTGTGCGGAAGCTCTTCAGCCGCTAAGCGGGGCGGCCTCTCTGCCCTGTCCAGTGCGAAGGGACTGGGGAACGCCCTTGTCCAGAGGGAGCGGTGTCCTCTGTTACTCTCGGGTGTGATGGCTACCGAGAGACCTAAAGGCCCCCACGAAAATCACGTGGGGGTCGTTAATGGTTCCCGCGGCCCCCAGTCGCAGACGCCAGGTGCTGCGTGGCACTCGACCCCCACTGGCAGCCGTCACCTGGGACGTCTTTGCTCACTTAGTCTGGGTCTGTTTCGTGCTTCTTTATCCGGGCCGTGAGCTGCTTCATTCCCACACGTTTCTTCTGTGTAAGCCCTAGCAAGCAGGAGTTTACAGGGTGCACTCCTGGGAATTAGGCGTGGGCGTGACAGTTGACCCTGGCGTTTTGTCTACTTTGTTTACGTGAGCGGGCGACACAGGTACCACCGTTTTATTAATGGCAGAAGAGGCTCGGGCATGTAGTGCGTGCGTGCGTGTGTGTGTGTGTGTGTGTGGCCACCCACTGAAGCACAGCGGACATTTGTCCACACACAGACAGGTACACCCCCCGATGCCGCCAGGAGTGCTTAGTGGCCGGGACGAGATGTGCAGGTTCTGTGAGCGTGGTTCTCCAGTGACAGACGTCGTGCCTTCTCACCCTGTTCAGCACGTAGACGGGGACTGGTCGCTGCCATTTAGGTCACTTCTGAGTCTCGCTCACAGTCGTCGTGACGTTCCGGGGATTGTGAGCAGTGGGCGCTGCGGCGCGTGTGCCCCTGTGACTCAGGTTGGCCATTGGGTCCGCGCCTTTGCTTCGCATGACTTCTGATTTCTTAATGGAAGTGCCGTGACCGCCGTTGCCGTTGGGGGCTTTGGAGGAGGCAGGTGGTCAGTGGTCCCAGGGACAGAGTGAGATGCCGAGCCCCGGAGACCCCGTCGGAGGCACGTCCCGAGTCTGTGCGGGTGGGCGCGGGCTGCTTTTCACTGCGGTCCTCGTTGGCAGAGCGGCACAGCCGGGCTTCCTTGAAGCAGCTCGCTCTCGGCCCTGCCTGCCCTGCAGTCGCACGCGTGGGTTTTCAGGCGCTCGCATTTCCTGTTGCAGGTGGTGGAGCTGAAGTGCGGCGGGAAGGACATCCCGGTCACCAGCGCCAACCGGATCGCGTACATCCACCTGGTCGCCGACTACAGGCTCAACAGGCAGATCCGCCCGCACTGCCTGGCCTTCCGCCAGGGCCTGGCCAGCGTGGTCAACCTGGAGTGGCTGCGCATGTTCGACCAGCAGGAGATCCAGGTTCGCTGCGCGCTGGTGCTCGGACGCGCGGCGCCCGCGTCGGAACGTGCTTCCGGCCTCCAGTCTCACGAGGCGAACTTTCCTTGCAGGTATTGATTTCTGGTGCACAAGTTCCCATAAGTCTGGAGGACCTGCGATCCTTCACGAACTACTCAGGTACGTGCCCCTCACTCATCGCTGACAGGCTGCCGCCCGGGCCTGGCTCCAGAGTGACGTCTAATGTGCTTCTCCGTGTGGGCGACGCACTCTGACCCGGGGCGGCCCGGCCCACAGGGAAGCCCCTCCGGCCTTCTCCCCTCCCCGCCCCCACACGGAGCCCCGTTCTCGGCGTCCGTGACACCGACACCCCCATGCACGTCGAGTCCTGACCGCCCGGTCGCCACGCTCTGCTGTGCCTCTCGTTCCTGTTCTCTCCGCATCACGTCTTAAATGTCGCCCAGGGGCGTTGGCCTCTTTCCAGTCTTCTGCGTCTAAAAACAGTGCTGGCCGAAAAGCCCGCTGACAACGAAAGGGAAAACTAAAAATGGGACCTCCTCAAAATATTTACTTTCTGATGGGAAGAAAATTGAAAGCTTCCGCTCTTTAAGAAAATGCAAATCCAAGCACGAGGTGGACAAACGGCCTGTGAGCACGTGGGAAACGCTCACCGTCACCGTCGGAACGAATTGGAGCGACAGTGCGATGACGCAGTCGGAACCGGGTCACCTTTCTGACGTCTGTAACTTTTAAAATAACTGACCGTAGTACATGTGCTTGGGAACAGTGAAAAGAAAAACGGTCATTCTTAAAACAAAAATCACCGTTATTTTGTTTTCCTTAGCAATAGTCTAGTCTAGTATTTTCATGTAGATTGTGGGGATTAGGTAATTTATAGCACGTGTTCTGTATGGTTAGCATGAGAAATAAAATTTTTTTAGCCGTTAATTTCTTTGAAATTAATTTTTGAGACTAAAGTTTTATTTCTTTTTATTATCTCAATAATTAAAAGCCAAAACTGTGAAACTTTTAAAATATGTACAAGAGAAAAATCTTCATGACTTTTGAGCTAGGCGGAGTTTTTCGTTGTATACCAAACATGTGATCCAGAAAAAAGCCTTTGTGCTTCAAAAATGCCATTAAAAAATGAGAAGACGAGCCACAGATTGGGAGGAAATATTTTAAAGCAACATATCTAATAACGGACTATGTCCACAATGTATGAAGAACTAACTCTGGCAGCTCAGTGATGATCAAATTTAAAAACATGAGTAAAAAAATGTTTCACTTAAGAAGATGACATATAAATGGCCAATAAGCAAATGTGCACAGGAACAGAAGTTTAAGACCATTAATCATTGGGGAAATGGAAATTATGTTCTAATTGGAAACCACTGCACACTCTCTGGAATGACCGCGACCAGAAGGGGAGACTGCCAGGCGCTGGGTACGCGGAGAACGGGACGCCCCCTGCGCCGCGGGAACGTTTCCGGCTATTTAGAAAGTTAACTGTAAGACAGCTGGGTTTTTGCAAAGGAATGAAGCTGTACCCCTACCTCACACCACATACAAAAATTAACTCAAAATGGATCAGCCATCATGATGTAAGAGCAAAAACCGTACAACTCTTAGGAGAAAACAGGCAAAACTTCATGACCTTGGATTTGGCAGTGGATTCTTAGATATGACATCAAAAGCCTAAGTAGCAAAAGGAAAAATTAAACTTCATCAAAATGACAAACTGCGCATCAACGGACATTGTGAAGGAAGTAGAGAGATGACCTGTAGAGTGGCAGGTGACACCTGGAAATCATAGCTGATCAGAGTCTCAGGGTCTGGTATCCAAGGCACATAAAGAACTGTACAGCTCAACAAAAAGACAGCTTGGTTCGAGGACAGGCAAAGGACTTTTAACAGACATTTCTCCAAAGAAGATATGCAAACTGCCAGTAAACCCAGAAGATGCTCGGCGTCACAGATCACTGGGGAAATGCAAATCAGAGCCACAGTGGGGGACACGTCGCGTCCTTTAGGATGGCTGCTACACACACACACACACACACACACACACACACACCAACTACCGGAGGCAGGTGGCAACTTGGAGCCCTCATCCATACTGGGGGAAGTAGCTCCTGTGGGAAATGGTCTGGCGGTCCCCACAAAGCTAACCGTGGGCTCGTGTCGTGACCCCGCGGCTCCACTCCCAGGCACGCACCCAGAGCAGTGGAAGCAGGGCCTGCACGGGGCCCGCACGTTGCACACGCAGCAGCCTCACGATCAGCAGAAGCTGGAAGCAGCCCACGCGCCTGCCGACCATGCACAGATAAGCTCCCTGCAGCCTGTGCGCACACGGGGTGGCGTTAGGAAAAGAAGGGACATTCACATACCTGTTACACCAGGGACGAGCATCGAAACCACTGCGCCACGCGAAATAAGCCAGACACACAGGAGGACCTGTTCTGCGTGATTCAGCTTCCGCGAGATCCCGGGACAGGCCAGGTCCCAGATGGCGAGCGCAGAGCAGCAGTGACCGGGCCGGACACGGGTGGCTAGTCGGCGCTCCTGTCTCGGGGAAGGAAAAGTTTGCTTGGAGTCAGCAGAGTTGGTGGCACAGTAACGTGGATCTGACTAGCGCCACTGAATTGTAAACTTAACAATGGCTAAAATGCTGAATCTTAATGTGCTTTACCTCAATGTAAAACCCGAAACCAACCTGGACCCCTGTGCTGGTCCCTGGTGCTGTTGTAGAGGCCGCGGCAAAGGCTGCACGGTAGGGTGGGTGTTGTTCGGTGGCACCTCTGGGGGGCAGCCGGGGGTAGGGAGCGGGGGCCTTTTTTGAGGAAATAGAAAAGTCCTAAACCTGGATGGTGGTGACGGTAGCAGAGGCTGTAAATCTGCCACACGCATTCACAGGTTTTTGTAGGTACATAAACATGTGCCTGTGTCTCCTCTTTCTGTAACTAATTCACATTGCTCTAGGCTTGGGCTCTAGTGTTTATGTAAAGGCACATGACACCGAAGGTCACACTGTCCCCACTATTAAGTCATAAGTTTAAAAAAATGAAATCAGCCTGGCCTTTCCTTTGCCAAGAAGTTGTCCTGGGTTGTTTGCATTACCCAGTCTGCGCTGGGAGCTCATACCTTTAATGATCTCAACTATTCCAGTAAATAGGTTTAAAATATTATCATATTCATTTTGGTGCCAATTAATGCACTTAAGATATTTTATTGATGTTATTTCTGTAGTATATTAACAATGAGGGAACAATATATCGCAATTATTTCAGTTTTAGGAAGCACTTAACTAGATTAAAAGCTGTAAGCAGCAGATCCCACACTTGGAGCGGTGGGCTGACCGTGTGCTGGGCTGGTCGTTGGCCGGGGCCTGTACCTGACTGTCAGCGGACGGGGGTGAAATAGATTGGACACCGAGGTCGTGTTGCCAAAATAACTGGCTGCATCAGACATGAGAGTCCCAGCACCCGCCACGTCAGACATGGGACTTCATGACACTCCTGTCGTTTCGAGCCTGCTACTCAGCAGAGGCCGGGTTCTCACTTGGCCTTTGGCGGCATCTTTTCCTGCCAGGTTGTCTCGTGACGGGGGCGTCCCCCGTTCTGGCCTTGGTGCCCTGACCAGTGTGACGGGCACGAGGACAAGCAGTCGCCCTGCACGTCTGTGTTGATCTGGGAGCCTCGCTCGTACGGTTCGTTCGCTTTTATAAAACGTGTTCCTTCTGTCACAGGAGGCTACTCTGCCGACCATCCCGTAATCAAAGTCTTCTGGCGAGTTGTCGAAGGGTTCACGGATGAAGAAAAGCGCAAGCTGCTCAAGTTTGTCACAAGCTGCTCGCGACCCCCGCTCCTGGGGTTTAAGGTACGCGACTCAATGCCCCTTCCCTTAAAAGCCACCATGACGAAGGCAGCAGGGTAGCAGATGCGGCTCTGTGAGGTAGTGTAGTTAGTACTCACTGTTTTGGGGGAAGGAATTAGTGCTTTTATAAACCAAGTTGATTATTTTTTACTGTACTTTTAGCTACGCAAGTTAGTATTTCAGCTGGGTGGAAGAAGCGTCGGTTATCTCCGCACTCCCTGGTGCCGGCTGTGTTCTGTTGTTTTTCACAGTGTTAGCCTGTGACGTGCTGGCCGTCCGTCGGGATGGTGGCGGCCCGTGAGCGGGTCACAGCCTGCTGGAATGACTGGAGTGTCCGTTGTCAGTCCCCCAAGTCTGTGTATCTCAGGCTAATTTTACTACGGAACTAAGCAAAACATGAACTAGAAATGTTGGCAGAGTGTGTTTGGGAAGCGTGGTGTGTGAGCAGGAGTGTGGTTCCCCCTGGTTGTCCACCAGAACGGTTCCACGTCGCCACTTCTGATCGTCAGCGTCGATCTCAGATGAGTCAGCTTGATATTTCTAGCAATTACAGTGGGCCGAAGGACAGCCGGCGTTCCCCTCACGCGCTGTAAATTAAAACGCAGCGGCACTCACGGGGCAGAGGCGCGCACGGCGGTGCCAGCGCAGAATGACACCAGGTAGCGGAGGGTGACGAGACTGGGTGCAGACTGCAGGTGACAGCACCTGAGCGAAGTGATTCGGAAAGACTCGGCGGCCTCTGTTTTGGGTGCCCCCGCTCCCCACAGATAGCGGGGTCTGCGTGGAGTTCAGAGGGCCGCGTCCCTGCTCAGCTCCGTGGCACGTGTGAGGTCTGGGAAGGGGCGGGTGCGACGCGGCGGGGCACGGGTAAGGGGGCAGCTGGCGGGCTCACAGCGGACCGCTCTTTGTCCTTGGTGGTGTGAACGGCCATAGCAGTCACACCCTCACGATGCGGCTTTCATGCCGCAGGTGACTTTGTGAGTGAGGTTTAGTATGCACGAGGCTTCTAGAATCTTCCAGTTTCAAAGCAACACCAACCTCAAAGAAAGTGAAGCACCTCTTTCTAAGAGGGGAGTTTGGAGGACAGCGAGTGGGGGGCAGGGACCAGGAGCCCTGGGGCTCCCGGCTGATTGGGTCAAGCCAGTGGCTGCCGCAGGAGAAACCAGGGCTCTGGCTGGAAGGGCCGGGCCTGGGCCTGGCGGCCAGGGGAGGAGCGGGTGGCGAGGGCCGTCCAGGTCCAGGAGAGCCAAGGACCTGTCCCTGAGCAGTCCCATGGGAGTGCCCCGGGCCGTGCGTGAGGGAGGGGAGTTGAGGGGTTGAAGTTGGCTCCGAAAACCCCAAGTCGAGTCGGCTCCCCCGTTGGCGAGCCCCACAGTCAAAACAGCTGTCTCTGTACCGTAGACATGCTTTTGTGGGAGCCGTGACACATTCTTAGCATTTTAGATCTTTCTTAATGATCGCAAATATATTAAATGTGAGATTTAATTAAGTTTTCTAATGTTTTTGCAATGATCATAAGTTAGACTCCAAATTGGGAAAAATCACCTTAATATTTATGCTTTCCAGTTAGCCGAGCGTGCAGGCCGAGAGGGCCGGCAGAATACAGATGTGGAGAGGGGACTGTCTTTGCGCTGCAGGACACAGTAGCAGGCGGCATGCATGATTTAAAAGTTAGGAAACTCTTTAGTGCCAGATTATTGGAGAAGAATAACATCTGCTAAAGCTAATTAAAGTTTAATATGTTTAATGAATGTGATTGTTACAGACAAAAAAATCATTAAAGTGCTGTAGAAAATTGTTCACTTGCCATCAGGCCACATAATAAATTGATGATTTTTCTTACTCTGAATTAATGCAAATTCCCGTTGTACTGTATTTAATTATGCATGAAATGGTGCCCTTGACTCAGATTTCAATGAAGAACTTCATTTTTTTTTTTTACTTTTAAGATTCCAAGTAGGAAATTCAATTAGCATTATGGAAGAAACACTAAAATGTGGCATTTAACTGCAAAACATATTTCAGGCTCTCCACTCCCCCGCCACTTGACCTTCCCCAGCATTCACTGACCCTGCCTTCAGGCCTCCTTTTCTGTTTCAGAAAGGCCACGTTTTTAGTTTATTTGAGCATTTGAGAGAATTATTGCCCTCAGTGTACTCAGAATGCTAAATAATAGTGAATGTGATCATTGTTCTTTCCGTTCCTGTTCTAACACTTTACGAGACGTAAGAAGTAGCACATGCACTATAATTAGATAAAGACAGTGGCATTTCAGCCCGTGTTACGTGCGTGTGTGTCACTTCACATGCCTTTTACAGCTAACAGTGGAGAGGGCGAGGTCGCTGAGAAGCGTGTGAGTTTGGCCTCGTGTGGGCTGCGCTCCTGCGCTCAGCTCTGCCCCCATCACGGACCGCGTGCCGGGTTCCACCTGCAGATGGGTCTGAAGTGCGCTGGTGGCCAGCCGGGCGCCGTCACGCAGGGTTTCCGCTGTAGGACGTTGGAAGTTGCTGAGTAGGGCGGGGAGAACACGCGTGGCGCCTCCCGCTCTGACCCTGCTGGCGTTTCTCCGTGAGCGTGTGGGCGCGTGTGTCCACCTGGGCGCCTGTTGACGTGGACGCGCATGATTTTCAGTGCTCGGGTTTTAAGTGCACGCGTGGCCGTGCTCGCTAACGCCGCGTCCCGCGCTCCTGCTGTCCCGCAGGAGCTGTACCCGGCCTTCTGCATCCACCACGGGGGCTCCGACCTGGAGCGGCTGCCCACGGCCAGCACCTGCATGAACCTGCTGAAGCTCCCCGAGTTCCAGGACGAGGCCCTGCTGCGCAGCAAGCTGCTCTACGCCATCGAGTGCGCGGCCGGCTTCGAGCTCAGCTGACGCGCCCGCGCCTCCGGCGTAAGTAGCTCTCCGGCCACCCCGCCACCGCCCTCCTGAGGCCCCCCGTCCCGCCACCCCCCCTTCAGTCCTTAAATGATGTGTTAAGTCACGGTCCCTCCTCTGAACTGACATTGCTTTTCAAACAACTAAAATAACATGCTACGTGCCACGCGGCTGCTTGAGTGATTTTGCCGAGAGCACAGTTGTGAGGCTGGTGGCAGCTCAGCGCAGTTAACCAAAGATGCAGCTTCGGCTTTGCTGGGGGGCCGGGCCCTGCCTGGGCGGGGGGCTCCCGGGCCGGCGGGCGAGTGGGCGGCGCTGCAGCGACACTCGGCCTGAGAGGTGGGCAGCTTCCCCTCGGGGCCTCTGCTTCTCGGCGGCCGGACTGTCTCCAGGCCCCGCGTTCAGACTGAAGGCACCGTTTCCCTGCCACCTCTCCCGGAGCGGCTGCGTCGGAGACTAGAGAGGGGGGCTCTCTCTGTGCCTCCCACGCCGGCTAAGTCCCCGTGGGGAGAGCGCGCCGTTTTCGCGGTCCCATCGCCCGCGTGGTCTGGTCCGGGCGTGCCGCGTGGGGGCGCGTGGGGGCCGGGGCTCCATCCTCCTGCCCTTGTCTCCGCTTTGTGCCTGGAGAGCGTTCAGGGAGGGGCGGTCTGTCCAGTTCCTGCGATGTGTGTGACCGCCAATAAATGACGTCTTGGGGAGAATAGACACTGAGCGTCGATTCCAGTCACTTGAACCAAAGTGGCGGGCTGCGCCGTGGCTCTGCGGCCCGCCCCTCCCCACACCGGGCGGACCGGCCGGTCACCCGGAGGTTTGGGGTAACTCGCCACGCTCTGCACCCTCTGCTTCCTCAATGGTGCTGCTTTGAAGGAAGATGGGACAGTCCCCAAACTCGCGTCCGGGGGGAGTGTCCGGATTCTCTCGTCACAGGCACTTTATCAGGACCGGACTCGCCGGGGCGTCGGTCCGTGCCCGCGGAGAGCGTCCCACGCCGCGGCCAGGACGACCTTGCTGGGGCCAGGTCGCGGGGCCCGCCCTTCGCCTTCCTGCCTGCTGTCTTGCTGTCACTGGAGCTCGGTGGGCTGTCCTGTTGGATTGACCAGAATTAGCAATATACTTTTAAATGCGGGGAGACTGAATGACACTTTTAAGACAATGACCGTTATCGAAACAAAATGTATAATTTCTTAATTTGAATAATAAATTAAGTGTTTAAATGCTATTTGTAGTCTTGATATTCAAAAATAAAATAATTAGGGTTTGTCCTTGGTTTTATTTTTATTTGAGGTCTTTTATGTTGAACGTTCTATATCTTCTTTACTTGTTAGTTAATTTGTACATTTTGCCGTCAGTACTTTGGGAATATCCCGGACCGAAGGGAAGTGGGCGATCACACTTACCTAGTCTCCTTCTCAGCCGCCCTGGGCGTGTTTGTTTATGCGTGTGCTCTAATGGCTAAATATTTGCATTAAATGTGTCTTTCCCCAAGATCGTGTTGGAGTCGTACCCCAGATCATTGTGGTCACCGCTAGTAAAACCAAAGCTCCTAAACGTCACCCAGTTTTGTCACGGGGCTCCCACGTCACAGGGGACACAGCGCAGCGGCCGCCCGGCTCCTTCAGTCGGCCCTCCGGGGCAGTGGTGCTCTGTCCGGAACGCGTTGCGAGGCTCCAGGCCGGCCGGCCGCAGCCATGCCCCACGTGTGCTGACACAGTGGTGCTCTGTCCGGAACGCGTTGCGAGGCTCCGGGCCAGCCGGCCACAGCCATGCCCCACGTGTGCTGACAGGCCCCCCGGGGCCGGTGGCCGGCACCGTGCCGGGGCCGTGGCCGGGTGCGGCATTCCATTGTCGAGCAAACCGCTCCTGACAGAGGAGGCTCCTTTCTCGGCTCCGTGTGACCTTCTCTGTGTTTTTTCCCACACTGCTCATCGCTGGTCGTTTTGGGCTCAGACCTAAATGAGCGATTAAAGGTGAGGCAGTTTCCGGCGTCCCCAAGAGCCGCGTCGGCAGGCAGGTCTCACCAGGCTCCCTGCGGGAGTTCACTGGGCGGCAGCGTCTCTCCCCGGCACTGGTGCCACCACGGCGGGCGCACCTGGGCGTGGTGCGGCTCTGGGTGCTGCGGAGTCTGCCCTCCCAGCTGGGGCCCGAGGCAGGCCACCCAGACCGGGTGACCAGCAGGCACAGCGGGGAGAGCCGAGGGGCCGAGCTGGGCCAGGCGGGGTGGCTCCTGCCACGCACCTCTCAAAGGCCTCTGCTTCCAGGGAGTCCTGGGCGTGAGTGCTTAAGCCCGAGCGGTTTTGGCCTCCGCTATGTGCCTGCGAAGTGGGGGCCATTAGACCTTCGGGTGCTCGGGGGTGCCACGAAGGTGCGGGGAGAGTCATCAGGGGGCCCGCCTCAGCAGCGTGTCGTGAACAAATAGGACTTGTCTGTCCCGCCTCCCTACGGGACTTGATGTCACAGGTTGCAGATGTCACATCTGCATTTGCAGAAGCCCGTCCTGACAGCCCGCAGCGTGCCCTGTGCCCCGTTCCTGTCTCACTTCAGGGCGGGCGCAGTGCTGGCAGAGGTGCTGTGAGCTTTGGGTCACTCGTCACTTGCCTGCGTCTGGGTGATCACGATTGGCCATCTTAGCTCGTGTCTGTGACAAGTGACAATGCGCTGTGTAACTCAGCGGTGGCTTTAAATGCATGTGCCCTGCACCCCTGCTGCACTCCTGGCTCAGGCCTGCTGGCCGCCCAGGCAGAGCCGCAGGGTCCACTCGCATGTCCCCGAGGGGGAGCTTTGGTGGAAGGCAGCCCTGCAGTCCTCTGGGCCGATGGACACTGGGAGCTGGTCTCCCGGCTGTGCGCAGGCACCGTGCTCTGTCCCCACTGCAAACTGGCCTCCCTGTCCCCAGCGCGTCCTGTCCTCCCCCCTCACTCACATTTCTGTCTGTAGCGCTTGTTCTGTCCGTGGCTGAGGATTTCACTCGTGCGTTTTTTCTGCAGCCCCAGGAGCGGAGTGTCACTCGTAGGGGTTTGCGAGCTCAGTCGGCCACTGTGTACCTGGAGCGGCGCCCAGCACAGGTGCCCAGTGGACGGCTGGCCCTGTTTTCTCTACGGAGGAACATTCGCCGACCTAGATAAATTTCAGGTGACTGCCTGGACAAGCGTCGAGTGTCCGCGTCACCACTGCCTGCCGTCCTGCCCAGAGCAGGCCCACCCCGGGCTCCGCCCCTTCACGGGATTCCTTGCTCTGCGGTCCTGTGTCTGGGACGCCTGCACAGCCAGGGAGGGGGCCTGTGCACCTGCCCTCAGCTCTGCTCAGACTCCGGCACCGCCACCTTCAGTGTGCTCGGGGCGGCGGGCAGGCTCTGGCGCCGGGGGTGGGTCTGTGTGACTGATGCTGGGACGGGGCCTCCTGCCCTGGGACTCCCAGCCTCGTCTCGGTTTCTCCCAGTGACAGCACCCCAGTCAGCTACACTCAGGAGCCAGCGCCTGGTCGCGAAGTGGTTCGCACGTCAGCAGAGGCGGTTACTGAAACCACAGGGATCGAGCAAGGCTTTTAACGAAAGTTTCAGATAAAGTGTGAAGTCCTGGGGCCTTAGTCCCTCAGAGTGTCACACTTAGAGTCAGCACGTGAGCGGGTATTCTACATCTAGGCTTGCTCCCCAGCCAGGGACACAAGTCCACGCAGCGTGTGCGCACAGATGTTTGTGGTGACCTGACAGCCAGAAGGTGTGGGAAACCCATGTGCCCCCGGCCGTGAGCGCGGGGCTCTTACCAGGCAGGACATTCCCAGGGCTGCCAGCGTTCTGCGGTCCCCAAGACCGTGGAGACACGGGGTTTGGACACCCGCAGCCTCCTGAGTGTGCCTTGCTGTGCATGCCCCACTGTGACCAGGCCCCGTGTGGGGCCAGTCCCTTCAGCTCCACAGATGGAGCCACACCTTGTCTCAGAGTTTAGGTCTTGGCGATGGCACGTCCCTGGTGGCTATGCGGGGTGGGGTGGGGGCTCCAGGAAGGAGAGTCCCTGGCGTGGTGTGGAGCCAGGGCCTCGGGGAAGGACAGCGGTTGAGCTCAGCAGGACCGGGTGGTGTCTCTGTGTGACTTGGGGGGAGGAGGGTGTTGGGGGGCTGTCAGGCGGGAGCCCTTCCTCAGGTGTCAGACACACCCACACCCGACTGCACGCAGCGCATGTCAGGTCTCAGCCTCTATACAAGACTTAGGAACAGCTGCCACGTGGTCGCCTATCACAGAAGCCCCCGGAGCGGTTC